AAAACAACAACAACAACAAGCCAATAACAAAAAGCAAAACAACAAGGAAGAAGAGCTTATAGTTAGTTCAGGGACTGTTTGTTGGCCTTTAGGAGTGTTTTCCAGTGGAGTCTGTTGGGGCGCCAAGCTCTGGCCCCAAAGTCTATTTTCGGTATTCGTTGCTCTGTTCCCCTTGCTGTTCTGTTCCATGCCCTGGGGACTTCGTTGCTCGGTTCCCCTTGCTGTTCTGTTCCATGCCCTTAGTGTTTTGCCTCAGTGTGGTGGGATCAGATTGGGCGCAATTTCCCACATTGTGTCTCCAGTGTTGTCCCCTGTAGGGCTATGGGTCAGTGAGGGATGTCATGTCTCATAGAGGGGCCAGCCATGTGGTCTTCTCTGTGCATTGGGTGCTCTGAGCAGGGATATCATCCTCAGGGCTTGGTGGACCAGGACGTGCTCCACTCTCTCCCCCTCCCCCTTCATTTGCTCCTGTGTGCTCTGATCAGACTGTCCCTCTCCTGGAGCTGCAGATTCAGTGCTGTCCTCTGAAATAAGTTCTTCTTGGGGGAGGGGCAGGAGTCCACCTAGTTGGGATTGGGGTGGGCCCCTCAGACTCCTCCACTGGTTCCCTACTCCATGCCAGCATATTGCATTCACATTTTGGAGCACCGGATTGAAGTCTGGTCCCTCTTTCCCTGTGGAGATATAAACAATACTCTCCCCTTGGGTGGATTAGTGCCCTGTGCCCCAACTACCCATTCTTTTTATTTTTTTCCCTTTCCTCCCCTTACTTATGGTAGCCAACTTTCATTATCTTTCTGCCATTGCTTATTCACATGTCTCTCCCTTCTCCACGAAATCCCCATGAGGCAGTTGTTCGTCACTGGATGATACACATTTCCATGAGGCTGTGCTTAGTTGTGTCAGTTCTTTTCTTTTGTTGCACTTCAGACTCACTTATTTCCACTGCCTCATCCTGTAGTCCTCGGATTATTTCTTCTGTAAATTCAGACCTGCCATTACATTCTAACTATGAATCTTTCACTTCACTTGTTTAACTTTCTTCACCAGTATTTCTGTTTGATGCCTTTTTAAAGTGTCTATGTCTATTATATTCTTGTTTTTTCCACGCCTCATTTTCCCAATTTATTTTTCACCACTTTCTAATTTAAATTTTTAGTACAGAAATCAAAAGACTATGGAATATAGGATTCACTTATAGTATGTACATTCAAGGATACTTAGCTACTTGGAGACTAGGTGCATTCAATGGAGGAAAGAAAAATCTCTTCAATAAATAGTACTAAGGCCACTGGATTTCTACATACAGAAGAAGTTAATTTGTATCCCTATCTCTAACTGTATACAACAAAGAGTGCAAAATGGATCAGCAACCTAAGTGTAAATGGTAAACCCATAAAACTCAGAACAGAATATACAGATGGGACAAAATCTTCAAGATCTAGCTTGGAAATGGATTCTTAGATACAATACCCAAAGCAGAAGCAAAAAAGGAAAACAGATAACTTGAGTCTCATAAAAATTAAAAAACATTAGTTCAAGAAGGAAATCACCAAGAAAGTGACAAGACGGCCAAAGAAATAAGCAGAGAAAACTTATTTGGAAATAATATAGCTGCTAAAAGACCTCATAATCAGAATGTTTAAAGGACAACTACAACTCACCAACAAAGAGAAATAACCCAACTACATAATGGGTAATTGATTAGAATCCCTCCAAATAAGAAGCAAATGGCACACAGTACATGTACCTGGGTCGTCATCCGACCAGTTACCATTGAGTCAAGGGTGTCTCACAGTGACTCCATGTGTGTCAGAGTAGAACTGTGTGTGCTCCATGGGTTTCAAAATGCCTCGTTTTCACAGGTCAACAGACCTTTCCTTTAAAAGGCACTGGGTGGACTTAAACCACCAACCTTTTGTCAGCAGCAGAGTCTATTGAAGTTTAGCACTACTTTATTTTTCATATTATTTTTTATTTTTAAATTAAACCATTTTTGACATATAATTCACATATCATACAAGTCAAACATACTTCACCCCCAAAAGTAAAAGAAAGCAAACGCCCCCCCAAAACCAAAAACCCAACAGTAATAAACAGAAAAATCACAATTTAAAAGAAAGCAGAAAATAACCAAAACTAGAACAAATTTTAAATGGACCAAAAGGGAGAACAAATGATAAGGTGTTAAATTTTAACCTGACTATATCTGCATTGATCTACTTTCCAATATATTGTTAGCAAGGCGATTCATATCCTTGGTCGATGGTCAGAGGGGATTCTCCAGAGGCTTAATCAGTGTGAGGACTCTACAAATATATTTTGAGTTTTCACTATCATCCATAGCCTTTTGCAAACCAAGTGCTCAGAATTTAAGATCTACTACAGTCTTAGATTTTATTATTTACATCCTTGGAGCACGCAGGCTCTTGTACTTCTGTGTAGACTTAACTTACACCTCACTTAGATGGCTGCTTGTTTTAAGAAAACCTTTAAAAACCTAGACGCGATTCTTTCTGACAGGAACCATCTGATTTATTTACATTTTGCTATAGCACCCATATCTTCAGTGATCTCTTCATGAGCACAGGTATCAAGTAGGACGGTGTCATAAGAGCTAATTGTTTGTAGATTAGGGCTACAATTAAATGTGAGCTCAAAATCCATTTATGTAGCTGTGCTTTATATATCCCCCTGTGGTTCACTGTAGAGACATCGGTATCATTTTATGGGGAACATTATAAATCATCTCCTTGGAGCATATGGTAATTATATTGATAGTATCATTAATTTATTCAATGGTATAGAATTTAAAATTCTGTTGAGAAAAGGAAAGTGTCCATGCATAGGACAACTTTTTAGACTAAACCCCATGGATTGTTAACTTGTACAGATTAGAAACCTAAGTGACTGGACACTCTGCCAAAAGTGAGGGCCAGAGATAGGGGACAACTTTCGGTAACGCTCATGCACAAAGACGAAACGGCCTGCTGGACCGGAGCGCATCCACAGGAAGCAGAGGATGAAAGTGAAACATGAAGGGCAGTCTTTCAGTTGACATGCATTTGGCACCCCTAAAGCAAGAGATGTGAACTAGTGTCCAGTGACTGCCCAAACCAGAGCCTCTCCCCAATTTTTTTAGTTCTTTATCATGTTTTCCTTTAGTTCTTTGAACTTGTGTAATATTTTGTTTCAATATTTTCTCATCTGTTTACTGCCTGGTGCTATTTCATGGAGATAATTTCTGTTATACCCTCATGTGTTTTGAGTGGACTGTCATTTTCAGGTTCTTGGTGTGCCTCATTGCTTTATGTTGAAGCCAAGACATTTATCTATTACAGTGTTAGCTTTTTTTAAATTAATCATTTTATTGGGGGCTCTTATAGGTCATATAACAATCCATACATCCATCCATTGTGTCAAGCACATGTGTATATATGTTGCCATCATATCTTTACAAAACATTTTCTTTCTACTTGAGCTCTTGGTATCAGCTCCTCATTTTTCCCTCCCTCCCTCATGAACCCTTCATAATTTATAAATTATTATTTTCATATCTTACATCGACTGCTGTCTCCCTTCACCACTTTTCTGTTGTTCGTCCCCCTGGGGGTGGGGGGGGCGTGTTATACATCAATCATTGTGATTGGATCCCCTTTCCCCCCCACCTTCCCCCTACCCTTATGGTATCGCTACTCCCATTATTGTTCCTGAGGCGTTTATCTGTCCTGGATTCCCTGTGTTGTGAGCTCTTATCTGTACAGTGTACAGTGCTCTGGTCTAGCTGGATTTGTAAGGTAGAACTGGGGTCATGATAGTGGAGGGAGAGGAAGCATTAATGAACTAGAGGAATATTGTGTATTTCGTTGGTGCTATACTCCACCCTGGTTGGCTCGTCCCTTCCTTGTGACCCTTCTGTATGGGGATGTCCCATTGTCTACAGATAGGCTTTGGGTCTCCACTCTGCCCTGCCCCTCATTCGCATCGATGGTGTTAACTTTTTCAATTCAATTGTAAATACAATGCTTTCAAAAGTACTAATTTCTGCAAAAATATTTTAGGGTGGCACAACCTTGGGGCTTTGCTCACTGCTCCTCTTCCCTCCTTGTGAGAGCTCTGATTCAAACTGGAGGAGGTTCAGTCTGTCAGGCAGCTCCCTGAACAGTCAGAACACACACTGATCAGTCCGCCAGCAGATTCTGACCTGCTCGTTCACAGCTCGACATCAGGAGCCCTTCTTTCTGCATATGGAAGCTTTCAGGCAGCCTCTGCATTTGGTGTTTGTTCAGTGTTCTCTTTGACACCCAGTAGGAGCTCTAGTTTGGACCAGACTGAAGTCCAAGTCTTAGAGGCCACTCCCAGCCTGCTGAGAGCAGACGCAATAAGCAGTCCACCAGTATGGTCTTTGATATTTACTTTGGAGCCAGAGTTAGATCCAGAGCCCGCCCTCTTCTGCAGGAGAGTGGTGTGTTGGCTGGGACTCCACTGCAGCCATTTGGCTGCTGTAACTCGGGGGGGGGGGGGGGGGGGGTGACAGAGGAGTAGAAAAAGATCTTCCTATCATTTAAAATTCTGTCTCATCTTGCTACAGTTTGTTGCTTGTAGTTGCCGCAGTATGCCTTCTTACAGGACCGACCAGATATCGAGCTGCTCTTCTTGATGCTCGGGTGAAAGAATCAGAATCTTCCGCCTGTATATCCTAATGTCTTCCTGGAAGTGCTCCTCTTTTAAAAAACGTGTCGGTTACATTTTCCATTGTTTTTGCTGTTTTTAGGTATGAAGACACTTGGGCTGCACTTCACAGAAGAGCCAAGGAATGTGCAAATGCTGGAGAGGTGAAGCATATTCTCCTCCTATACTTGTGGGATATTTTATTTATTCAATATAAATGCTAGGGTTTTTATTATAAGGTTCTATTAAAATGTTTTGCAAGATATTTAAAAGTGATTATAAAACTCCCTTTAAAAAGCACATTTTAATAATGTCATAGTGATGTAATCTCAGTTTGGTTAGGCTTAGAGAGTTTATTAATGGTCACTTGTGAATGGTTGGTTCATCTAGTTATAATTTTTTTAATCATTTTATTGTGGGCTCGCACAACTCATCACAATTCATACATACATCCATTGTATCAGGCACATTTGCACATCTGCCATCATCGTTCTCAAAACATTTTCTTTCTACTTGAGCCCTTGGTATCAGCTCCTCATTTCCCCCCTCCCTCCCCACCCCTCTCCCTCATGAACCCTTGATAAGTTATAAATTATTATACTGTCTGACATCTCCCTTCACCCACTTTTATTTTATCTGTCCCCCAGGGAGGGGGTTATATGTAGATCCTTGTGATCGGTTCCCCCTGTCTACTCCACCCTCCCAGTATTACCATTCTCACCACTGGTTCTGAAGGGATCATCTGTCCTGGATTCCCTGTGTTTCCAGTTCCTATCTGTACCAGTGCACAGACGGATTTGTAAGGTAGAATTGGGATCGTGATAGTGGAGAAGCATTTAAGAACTAGAAGAAAGTTGTATATGTTTCATCGTTGCTACACCACACCCTGACTGGCTCGTCTCCTCCCCACGTCCCTTCTATAAGGGGATGATGTCCAGTTGCCTACAAATTGGTTTTGGATCCCCACTCCACATTCCCCCTCATTCACAATGATATGATTTTTTGTTCTTTGATGCCTGATACCCGATAGTTATAATGTTTATGAATTTGAATGTAATGCTTTTTCAATGTGTAAAAACTATAAGATGTAATCTCCTTGCATCCATTGTTAAAAGAATTTAGTATTCTTTGGTCAAAGGCAAAGCTTTGCTCAGTTTACCTAAATAGTTTGCTTAAGCAACAACAATAACAAAAAAACCCGTGCTCACTCAGTCCATTCTGACTCATCGTGACCCTCCATAGGGTTATTGAACCTATAAATCTTTATGGGAACAGATAGCCTCATCTTTCTCCTATGGAGCAACTGGTGGTTTTGAACTACTAACCCTATGGTTAGCAGCTCAATGCTTATCTTAATAACAAAAATATGGAAACAAGCAAACAGAAAAAAAAATTCAGTGGTATCCCTAATTCACTTAGAAGAGTTATCCATAAGTCCTATTTGTATGGCATATGATGATTTAAAATGATTTGTAATTTTAATTATTTGATACCTATATGTGTTAGGCTGGGTTTGCTAGAGAAACCAATAATTTGTGCTTATATATACACATAAGAAATAAATTTATATTAAGGATGTGGCTCATGCCTTAGAGAAGTGGATTGATCCAGTCTGACTCAAGTTCATGGATCAGCTACTAACATGGAGGATTTTCCTGATTTGGGTGGCTGCCAAGGCTGATGAACCAGGAAGCAGGAATATTATAGCTGATGAATGCAGATTCAGGTGAATTCAAGGTCGGCAGGTCAAATGGCAGTCTCTGATGACTCCTAGAGTTGACAGACAATTTAATGGGCCATTGGCTTAAGTCCAGAGAAACAGAGGTCAATTAGCCATAGACAAGATCCAGACCAGAAGGAAGGGAAGAAACTCTCCACAGCGTCTACTTATGTATTGAGTAGGCCACACCCCTGAGAAAACATCGTCAGGCCTGTGACCTGAGTAAGGGGATACATTCCACCTTATCTTCGCTCCACTGCCTGACTTCTCACACCAGATTCACAGAGTTGATTACATTACGTTAGGTCACATCATGGAGCGGAGGCCTAACTACTAAACTATTGATGATCCTGGGCCAGCCAAGTTGACACAAACCTAGCTGTCAAAGTATACTTAAAAAGGTTTATGCTCCAAAGTCAAATACTGTTTGATGTTGATTTCCACAGAATTTTATTTCTTTCTAAAAGGCTTCTGTGATTCTTTTGTGTAATAGAAACCGACTTTCTCCATTTACCTATGTTAGTGGGGCTATCGTTACACAGAACATGGGAATACATGTGATGAAACACATCATGGGAATACATGTGATGAAACACATCTGGTCTTTCTCTTAGGAAATACTTAAAAGAGACAACTTGTGTTCTGGCAATAAGGCCGAGTAGATATTTGAAAATTCTACCCCACTATAAAACACTTAAATGCTAGATAGATTTAAAACTCTTTTTTTTGGAAGGATAAAAAGTTACTCATCGGACAGGGCAAGATATGACAAAATAACAATTTATAAATTATCAAGGGCTCATGAGGGAGGGGGGAGCGGGGAGGG